GCCGCCGCCGCCGCTGCCGCTCTTGCGCCCGGTCCCAGGCTCGGCGCTGCACGCCCGAACCGCCACGTGGAGGCCCCGCAGAGGCTGCCCTGGAGGGCTCCGGACGCGGGATTTGGGGGGGGGGAGATGCGGAATTCGGAGAGGGCGCCCGGCTCTGACGAGCATTGCCTCCTTTCTCAACACCCCACCTGCGAAACGGCTGCCCAGGCCTGCGAGATGCCTTCCCATTGGCTGGCCGCGTATGTGTTAGGGGAAAAGAAGGTTTCTGTCTTTTCTTTAAACCTGTTGACTGTCCACGTCGGTGTACGAACCCGCTTTTTCCCCTTAGTTTTGAATTACAACCTGGATGTGTTCACTTTTGGCATGTGCTCCCTCTGTAAGGAGCCAAACTAAACAGTTTAGGAGTAAGGATGTGATTGCACCAAAGGCACATTTTCTTTTTTGCTCTCTGGCTTCCTCTTTGCCATGGACTTCTTGATTGCCTTGTTTTTCTTTCAACCTAGATGACTCAGTGCTTAAAGTGCAGTGGTTTATTATGGCCCATAACTGAAGGATGATCTTTTGCAGTTCTTCTCACTTGCTGGTTTCTGTGTATTGTGGATGTAACTCTGGCAGCAAATTCCTTTTCTGTCTATGACCTTTTTGGGAGTTACATTTGTTTGGTAAATATCAATCTGAAGATATTGCATCAACAAATTAAATACTTTGTACAAGGACGTTGAAATAGGTGCTGTTAAAAAGATGGAGTTGCATGTATTGGGGTATAGACTAAAATGAGAGGAACCTTAAATATAGTTGACTTGAATCATTGTCTTCCTTTTTCTAAATCATGTTTAGAGAAGTACTGTTCTGTGGAAGAATAAAAGCAGTTTTTGAAAGTGGAACATAGTATTTTAAAAAATTCTTTACTAGTTGCTACAAGCTCAAATTCTCATGCAGTTGAGGATGCATGGGGAATATTTGCAGGTATTTCAGAGGAATTGTATTTTTAGAACTAAAAGACATTTGTTAAGGGAAACAGCAGCAAGGTTGCTTTCACTAGCAATTGATATAAATACTTTGACATTCGGAAATATAGACTTGCTTTGGTATAATTGTTCCATTTTAATTTCACGGTACTGTAATACAGTTTCGATCTCTCTTCTAGAAGATGTGTTGATCCTTACTCTAATTGCACATATTGAACACCGCTTCTTCCTGTTTGGCAGAAAAAATTCTGCAACAAATATATCAGCATTTTTTATTTTGGCAGCCTGGTGTTAAGTAGCATTATGTGGACATAAGCTGCCTTTGATTTTGGAGGAATGTGATGAAATGTTCTTGAAATTGTAGAATATACTTCTGTTTATGACACACTTTAGAGTCATAAATTACTACAACAAAGATATCTACAGTATACATCTTCCTTCGAATATAGTTCTTTATGATACTTCACCATGACTATGGATTACAGAGTGGTTTAATCATATCTATTTAGGTAGTAAGTCAGGAATTACTTTTGGATTTCTTAGTGGTCTCTGATAATAGGGCTTTTCCCCCCCCATTTCTGGCTATCTGTATGAAAACTGTATGGAGATTAAATTTTACATTTCACCTGGCAGATTTAAGCAAAGTCAACAGAACTATTTGAAAATAAACTAGCATATTCTTAGTGAAACAGTAATCAAACATAAAGCTGTATCCAACAGTATCATTCTACTGACAGAATGCATTCTTCATACCCTCTTCACACTTTCATCAGTTTTCCTTGTGTTGAAAGATGTTCTGGAGCAGTTTGGGGAAACTTAAAAGGGCCAAAAGTTGAGTGAAAGTCAATTCATGTGATGTTGAACTGAGCACATTTTCCAGAGAATCCTTATTTAAGCATTGTGGCTATTCTTTTTAAATACAACTTTTAATCCAGTCTTACCAACACAGAGACCTGTGTTCAACTTTATGTCTCCTGATCCAAACTCTTGTAGATAATCATGAATAAGTTTAAAAAGAATTGATTTGGTTGCATGTGTCCTGCATATAATTCTGGATCCTCAGCATGAAACCTGGCTGCGAACATCTTTCTTGGTACCTGACAAATTTCTTGCCCTAAATAATAATAATAGTGGTGATAGTGAGTCTCCTTGAAAGATTCCTCTCTTGATATTAATCTCTCCCAGTCTATCACTGTTAGCTGGTCAACAGTGATAGATTGGGAGAGGAATCCCAAGGAGATTCAAGGAGAATCAAGGAGACTCACTATCACTACTACTGTTTGTCACTGCATTGATTCCTCTGTCAACAATACTGAACAAATCAGGCCATGGCTATCAAACATCAAAAACATCTGCCAGACTATCCCCCCTCCTTTACATGGACGATCTGAAGCTGTATAGAAAAACACCATCTGAAACAGAATCACTGTTCAACGCTGTCTGAATATACAGCCAAGATACTGCAATGGAGTTTGGACTGGACAGATGTGCCACTCTTACCATCAACAGGAGAAAAATAGTGAAAACTGAAGGAATCAAGATGCTCTATGGAAATTATGTCAGGAGTCTGGATGAAGAAGATCACTACAAATACCTGGGCATCCTTCAAGCTGACAACATAAAGTACATTGAAGTCAAGAAGAAAGTTAATAGTGAATACACCACAAGAGTGGAGAAGATCTTAAAGTCCAAACTCAGTGGAGGAAATACCATCAAGGCAATTAACACCTAGGCAATTCCAGCCATTAGCTACATAGCTGGAATAGTGGACTGGACTCAAGCAGAGCTAGAAGCCCTCGATAGGAAGACCAGAAAAATAATGACAATCACGCCCTTCATCCATGCAGTGATTTTGACAGACTCTACTTAACAAGGAGCATAGGTGGGCATGGAACGTTGCAAGTATACCAGACAATTGAAGAAGAAAAAAGGGTATTAGAAGAATATCTGAAGGACAGTGAAGAAGATGCAGTGAAGCTAGTACACCATGAAGGCTTACTGAATACTGAAGAG